AAGGGAAGAAGATGAAGAAGATGATGAAGAAGAAGAAGAAGAAGGAGAGAAGCGGTAGGGAAAGGGTTTCGCCACGCGACCGCAGCACGAAAGGTTAATCTGAGAAATCAAATCAAAGTGGTCTTCTTTTCTTTTTTTTTCTTTTTTTTGTTTCTCGAGCCCTGGGTTGTCGAAACGAGCTGGGAAGATTAGACTGGCGGAGGACAGGAGGAATGGAGGGAGAAGGGGCTTCCGACGGGCTGCATCAAAGACAATGTTTAACGCGCGCGCGGCATAGAAAACGCGGCATATGCCGCGCACGTGCCGACAGGGGCGCGTAAAACTCACTTTGTTTGCTAAATAACATCCTCGAGAGTAGTGCTTCGGGGCCCGATACGGAGACCGGGCCGCCAGGAGGCTCGCAGGACGGCGTCGACGTGTCCTGCCATGCGGGCGTAATTGCGTCAATTAGCGGGCCACGCTTGAAAAGTCACCATGATAAAATTGCATCCGCCGTTTCCTGATTTTGAACCGCCAAGCAGATTGCTTTCTCCGGGGTTCTCACACCGCGACAACGCGTCCGCGTGCGTGTATTATTATTGGCGGTGAGAAAATTTTTAAAAATCGTTTGCGGTCTCAGACATCATTTTTTTTTTTTTTTTAGTGTTGTACGCTTCAATCTCACGCGAGAAGAATTAATTTTTGCGATTGACAAAATTCTTCGTTAATTGCTATTTTTTGGAGAAAATACGAAAAATGATTCGTTCAACGTGATCTCACCATGATCAACGCGTTTGTATGTTTTCCGAGTATGTACATACGTGTGTACATTAGTACGATGCATTATTATTGATAAATGGTTAAATGTTTGATATAGAATATCGTTTTTGCAGATTGTGTCTTTTTGGAATTTATACTAAAAGAAATTAATATTCCTTGATAACAGGGATTCTTCGTCAATTTGTATATTTCCTTACAAGTTTCTGGAGAAAGTACAGTGATTCGTATCGATTATCTAGTATCAATGTAACTAGCACCGCAGGTTTGAAGATGAGCGAACTATTCCCGTCTGAGAATGCCAGATTCATCAACCTTTTCTGCACGCGATGACGATTATACTCGTCAAACAGAGAGCATGTGCAGCTGCTAATTATAAAATTGAATTAAATTATAAGGAAATGACACTAGTCTAAAAAGAAACTACAGCTAGTCTAAGGAAAAGAAAAATAAATAATTTTATCGTTTGACTTGATCGATAGTAACAATTAATATCAATAGAACGAAAACATTTAGAAACGACTTTAAAAAAAAAAAGTCAAGTCTTGTCTCGAAACATACTAAAATGTCTAAGATTTACAAATACGTTTCACCTTTCACAAAAAATTGCAATTACTTCTCTCGCGTGACGAGTATATACGCACGTAATCAACAACTAACGTAATAAATTTGTCGATGTCACAAAAATTTACAAATGAGTAACGAGAAACAAACAATAATACGAATAATAGTACGACCTTTTCTTCGGGCCATTTTCTATTTGAAACTAAGACGGAAAGTTGTACCGATAATTTATTGCTTCCACAATGCCACGACAGTTATAGTTCAAACGTTCCTCGTCAAAGAAACTACTTGCTCCATTATGTGCAAGGCAAATAACGAAACACGGACGATATCGAAACTATTTGCAACGTTTCCCATTATTTTTAATCGTGTACCTGCACGCACAAAGCGACACAGTCCCTCGGGGAAGTGATAATTTACGGGCAATGCCGGCGATTCGTTCGTTACACGATTTCACCGTGACTGTCGCCTCGATATTTCGCTCGGCTCGGCAGTATTCCTGCTTTGTATTCAAACAACAGCTGCCTCTGCTCCATTTCTCCGACAGAAGCGTCACGGTCCCGCGCCACAAGTCGATACGTACCCGTTCGGTATCTTAATTGAGAATTTGCTTACGCCGATAACGAGTCGAGCGACCGCCCTCACCTTAATCGTCGACGTGCGACGAAGTTTGCGAAAGAGAACGGAAGAAAGAGAGAGAGAGAGAGAGAGAGAGAGAACGACCGACGATCTCGAAGATCGCTCGGTCGATCGCTGCTCGAAAAATTTCCACTCGTCGCGTGTAAGTATATCACGCGGCACGTCGACGATTCTGGAAGAAAAAAAAAATCCTCGACGATTCGTCCGTTTCGAATCGAGCCTGGGATTGGAATGATTGGCTACTTTATTTCAAACGACAGAGAAATTGTGAAAACGTACGAACTCGTCTTCGTTCGAGACTGAGAATTCGGATTGAAGAATTCGGATTGAAGCTCGAGAACAGAAATTGCGAATTGATAGGTACGTACATACGTAAGTACGTGTTCGTACGACAAGGTGTTTGTCGATCGACGGCCGGTCGAACGCGCGATCTATTTACTTGATTACACGTAGGCTGGAAGGCGGATGATCGCCTTCGATGTAAACAGGAGCGGTACCTCCGAGCGGCGGCTAGGATAATCCGCATTTGCAAACAGAAATTTAAAGGTTGACCTGGCGATCCGGTCGAGCCGAGCTCGACTCTTTCGAACCGTTCGTTGCTTCAATCTCCGATTTCGAAAATGCCAATTTGTAACGTCAACGGAAGAAGCGTCGAGACGATATATATATATATATATATATATATATATACATACATACATGTACATATATACATATTACTTCGATGAAAAGCAGTCAGTCAGCTTTTGACATTTCGACAAGGTGAACTCTGTCACGAAGGAAAACTATTTCGAGGTCTGATCGATCGACTCACCTATCGGAACGCACGCGATATCGGAATCGCGGATCGGCCGATTCGCCAACTTCCACCGAATCTGCGTCACGCGCCGTTACCGTCGCCGATTACGACAAAATACCACGCGAATCGATCTGTTTCCCAGGTAGAAACACGCCGCGAGAGTCGTGTCACCAGCTATTCGACAATCCCGATCTCGTCCAGACCAGACATGCGTACGCGTACGTGTGTGGCTGCCTCGCGAAACCATCCTCGTTTCACCACCCACGACGGCGCGTGGTACGTTGTGCGTGGCGATCACTTTCTTCGACACTGAACCGGAAGAAGCTCGAGTCACCGACGTCGCTCATTCTTCCGTCTCGTTCGGGAAACTTGAAACGTTTCAAGCGGCATCGAGCAAAGGACACGACGGTGGTCCAAGTCGTCCACGTCCATCGCGAGACGATGCTGACCGACCGATCGAACGAGCTGCTCGATCGATCGATATATATATATACTCCACGAGGAGGATACGACTCGACTTCGGAGCCGGTGGAACCGCGCGGGGTTAATCGGTGGAGAAATATTCCGGTATCTTTTCGCGGCGGCGTCATCGCGCGAACTAAAGAATATCGCAGTTGTAATTAAGAAAACGGAGCCGCCGTCGCCGCCGCCGCCGCCGCCGCCGTTGCCGCCGCCGCTGCTGCTGCTGCTGCTGCTCTCTCTTTCGTGGGGGCGACGGGGGTGCAGAGAGCGGGCACGAGGGGACGCGGGGCAAGGGTGTGTTACCAACCGGGGGTGGAAAAGTCTGTGAAAAACGCGCGCATGACAATGCCGCCCCTCCTTGTCCACCCTATCCTCCTCCTCGGTCGCTTCTTTCTCCACCACCGCTCCTTGGCTCCTCTCTCTCTCTCTCTCTCTCTCTCTTTCTCCTCCACCTTCTTTTTCCACCCTCGAAACTCGCAGCGAGGGTGGGAGGCGTCGGGGACTAATTAAAGATTCAGCCGGCGACGAGTTCTCCGAAGACGTTGGCCTGCTACCCCGCTTTTCCCGCCGCAACCCCCCGTCCACTCTCTCACCGTTCATTCATTCCTTCCCTTCCCTCTCTCTCTTTCTCTCTCTCTTTCCTCTCTCGCGTTTCTTCTTCACTCCATCGTCCTTCCAGACGCGTCCACGCCGCGCCGTCTTTTATTTTTCTTAACCGTGGCCACGCGACCGCCACCGATTCTTTTTCTTCTTCTTCTCTCAACCGCCCCCTCTCTCTCCCCCTCCCCACCCTCCTCCGGTCGCATATTCTTCTTCTTCTTCTTCTTCTTCTTCTTCCTCTTCCTCTTTTTTTTTCTTCTTCTTTCCTTCCCTTTCCTCCTCTCTAAAAGCAGCTGCTTTTAGTTTGCCCTTGCGACGAGAGGCGACAGGTTGCCCGCTCTCTTCTCCACCGGGAGAGACCAGCCAGCGATAAGTCTCGGCGAGACTTTGGTTTTCAAGGAAAGGTTGGAAAAGGTCGCGCGTCTCGGACAGAGACGGACGACAGACACGAGCGAATTTGAATTTGAATTTGAATTCGGCGACGATCCGTGCGGCGGCCGCGTGGAAATGCGGCGTGGCTCTTCGTGATCGATTCGTGGGAGTCCGGGTTAAGGGTATCGCCAAGAATTAGGCCAGCGGATTCGAGTTACACGATCGAGAACGATTTTATGGCCGTCTGTCCGATCGACGGGAATTTCCAACGTCGTTTTCGCTACGTCGAGTATCCTAAGGATCGAGGATTTGTCGGGACAAGGTCACCTTTAAGTTTCTCTCTAAGCACGAGCGAACGCTTCCATCGTGTTCTTTCCGCCAATTTTTCGAGTGGACTTTCGCGATCTAAATTCTAAATTGCAAACGAATCGCGTACGTTCGCTTCTCGTCGATTCGATCTTATCGAACAGATACATCACGGAGGGATCTCCGCTTCTCACAGTTCACAAAGACACGGAGCGAGGCCGACCTGGTGTGCCTAACGGTAAACGCGAGGGAAAACAGAGCATCTCCGGTTTGCAAATTGGCGAAAGAGAGTGGGAAATCCACCCGGAGGGAAGATTTCCAAATGAAACGTGGAGAGACAGAGGAGAATCGCGAGGCCGAGCGAGGTTGAAGCGACGCGAAAAATAACAACACGCCCCCCTAAACGGAAGGTGGCGAAACTTCTTCTTCTCTCCCGAACCGAGGAAGGCGAAATTTTCGAATTTCGAAACAAAAGGAAAATGAAGAGAGAAAATCCACTCACCTTGCGCGATCCTGACCGCGGGCATTTTGATCCTCATGGTGACGTTCTTCGTCGATCTTCGTGGCGCGTCGCACGATTTCTGCCTCGGATCAACGGATTCCCTTCGAACGTCCAGGACGGATGGTAGTTTCCGCGGTCGAAATTCTCTCCCCTCTCGCTCGGAACTTTCTCGCCAGCGTCCCCAAATCCCTACGCGAATCTTCCACGCACGAATCTTCCACGCACTTCCTTCCGTGATTGTTGATTACAAACGGATCTTCTTCTCGGCACTTCTTTTCTGTTTAGAGAGAGAGAGAGAGAGAGCGCGCGCGAGTGAGAGGGGGGGAGGGGTCGATGAAGAAAAGGGGGAGGCGAGGACCACGTAGAGTGTAGGTGCCCTTCGCGCTCGGGATCAAAGCAAATTCGTCGACGCGTTTTCGCCCTCCTCCCCCTCACCTCCGCCCCGCGGTGTTGCTTCGTTCAAACGAGTCCATCCGACGTTTCACCTGTTTCCACGACACCACCAACGACTTTTTCCACTTCCTTCCCTCGAAACGTTCTTCTTCCACGAATCTATACCACCACCGCGATCGGGGCCCTTCGAATCCCGGTGAACCCCCCCAGTTTCAGAATTTCACCCCTTTCTCCCCCCTTTTTAATTCCTCCACACTCCCCGTTTAATTCAATTTGATCCGCGATCTCTGCTTCTCTCTCTCTCTCTGCTTTCCGTTCTCCGTGGATCGTCTGCTGGTGCACCTGGCCGCGACGACGAACTGACGGAACTGACAGTCGGCCGGGACGCACTTCTTCGTCAACTAATAACGTTCGTCCTCATCGTGTCCCTCGACTGGCGTTGAGCGCGGCGCGTTCGCGTGAGACGGCACACGTCGCGGCGCACATACAAACGGTTTCACACGGACGATTCCGCGAAACGGAACGAAACAGAAAGCGGATCGATCAGACGGCGAACGACAACAGATGCTAACGACGACGATGGTTAACCGTCGAGTAACTGACTAACGTGGGTGCCAAGGTGCACAGGTGCCAAAGCGAGAAACACTGGCTTGCTCGCGGCCGGCACCGTCGCCCGCGATTCCACTCAGGTGGATATTCCCACTTCGAGACGTTTCTCTCGCAGCCGAGAGTGTTTCACCTCGTGCAGGCGCGTTTTATCACTCCCTGTCAAACGAAGAGTGTCGTGTGGTCGTGGTCAGGTACGGTCGCGCCTTTATCCAACAGTCACACGTTGCTATCACAAGTCGTACACGTTTCGAACGATCCCATCGTCTCCTGTCGTTCACCTCTCATTCTCACCTTCCCCGCCGCACTTCTGTCTTCGCCTTCTCCTCGACAAACTTTCGGAAACAAAACCGAAATAAAGGAGGGTGGAGGGGGGCGAGAGAGAAAAAAAAAGAAGAAGAGGAAGAAGGAAAGAAACAAAACAAGTGCGTGGCAAGACGTACGCGGGCAACAGCCGCCTCGCCGATTGACGACTATCGTTGTCTTCGTCGTCGTCGTCGTCGTCGTCGTCGTAACACGCTTCGCTTCGCCCTCGCGCACACTTCCGGCCTTTCCTCCGGATCTTCCTCTCCTCTTTTCTCTTCGGCCTTTTCCACACGGGTTCTAAAAAGCGCGCGCGGCCACGCGCGACCCTCTCGACCGTACGTTCGTCGCCGGCGGGTCTACTCTCGTCTGCAACGTCTGCCAGCGTTGTCCATCGTCGCGAGCATCGTGGCACAGGTGAGGACGACGTATCGGTGGTTGGTGCCCCGTCCTTTCGACGTCGTGACGTGACGACAACGTGACGTTACCGGTGCTGGTTCCGTTTCCTGGACGGTTGGTTAGACGCGTGTCGTCCTTCTGGCGGACGACGACGTTGTCCCGCTGGACGTCCTCGAGCTTCTGCCCGAGACGAGGTAGTAGTCTCGGCGTGTGGGCTGACGCGCGGATGCTGGATGCCTGATGCCGGCGTGGACCAGAGCGACGATAGTCCAGCATGGGTCGTATCTCTGAGTGGACTGTGCCGGACGGTGCGCCTAGTCGTGCCGTGCGGGACCTGGCGTATCGGGCACTGCGCTCACTTCGGACGCGTTCGGTTCGCCTCGGCGCCGAGGCCGGACACCCCACGCGCTCTCGGGGTAGTTTTCACCCCCGTGGTGGGGGTAACGTGCCTTCTCCCTCTCTCTCTCCCTCTTTCTCTCTCTTTCTCTCTCTCTGTGTGTGTGTCGTTCCTCGCTGGCCGTGCAGCAGCAGCAGCAGCGGGATCACTCTCTTTCTTTCTCTCTCTCACTCTCTCTCTCTGTCTGGCGGCCGGCATCTGCTCCTTCTCACTCTCTCTCTCTCTCTCTCTCCCTCTGTCTTTCTCGCGCGCGCACGATCTCCCTTCTCTCGCCGGCGTGCAAGTTACACGCGCGCCGACTAGACTAGTGTGTACACTCGTGCGCGTACCATAGCCTCTTCTCTGTCCGCTACGCGCCGCTCCTTCACCAAGCTCCCGTTACCCCCTCTCCCCTAACCCCCTGCCCTAACCGGCTCTCCTCCCGTGTCCTCGTCGAAATCGTTCGTCTCTGTCGCGATCGCGACGACTGACTCTCGCGCGCGACCCGACCGACGTGCGACAGTCTCGCGACGGGACGCGCTATCGCGCCGATACGCACCGTTTCGCTGCCTTCCTTTTTTTCCCTGAAAACAAACGTCCCCTCGCTCTCTTTCTTTCTCTCTCTCTCTCTTTCTTTCTTTCTCTCGCCGTCCGAGTTTGATCTGTCGACGTAACGAATCCATTCCGAGAAAAGGACGAGTCGATTCTTTGCTCGATCGAACCAGATCGGTTCCGAATGGGGCTGTCGGTGTCTTTGACCACGCGGGAGAAAATTACTATCGTCTTCTCTTGAAACTGAGCCGTTTGCTTCTTAAAGTCGCGTGGTTAATTCTGACCAGGTGATTAAATTAGTTTGGTGTCTTTAACCAATCACATCGAAGAAAATTACTATCGTCTTCTATCGAAACTCAGCCGTTTGCTTCTTAATGTCGCGCGGTTAACGCTGACCAGGTGATTAAATTACTAAAAAATTTAGTTTCGTGTCTTTGACCAATTATATAGGAAAAAATTACTATCGTCTTCACTCGAAACTGAGCCGTTTGCTTCTTAAAGTCGCGCGATTAACGCTGATCAAGTGATTAAATTAGTTTGGTGTCTTTAGCCAATCATTTATGAAAAAATTACTATCGTCTTCTCTCGAAACTGAGCCGTTTGCTTCTTAAAGTCGCGCGATTAACTCTGACCAGGTGATTAATTTAGTTTGGTGTCTTTGACCAATCACATATAAAAAAATTACTATCGTCTTCTCGCAAAACTCAGCCGTTTGCTTCTTAAAATCGCGCGATTAACGCTGACCAGGCGATAAAGTTTGGTGTCTTTGACCAATCATGTATAAAAAAATTACTATCGTCTTCTCGCGAAACTGAGCCGTTTGCTTCTTAAAGTCGCGCGATTAACACTGACCAGGCGATTAAATTAGTTTAGTGTCTTTGACCAGTCATATATAAAAAAATTACTATCGTCTTCTCGCAAAACTGAACCGTTTGCTTTTTAAAGTCGCGCGGTTAACGCTGACCAGGTGATTAAATTACTAAAAAATTTAGTTTCGTGTCTTTGACCAATTATATAGGAAAAAATTACTATCGTCTTCTCGCAAAACTGAGCCGTTTGCTTCTTAAAATAGCGCGATTAACACTGACCAGGCGATTAAATTAGTTTAGTGTCTTTGACCAATCATATATAAAAAAATTACTATCGTCTTCTCGCAAAACTGAACCATTTGCTCCTTAAAGTCACGCTGATTAAGTTACCAAAAAAATTTAATTCCCGTGATTACGCGTGTTAACGTTGCTCGAACGTTGGACGAACGCCAGGCTTTTTGTCGAGACGATCGGTGTCACATTTGTTACGTTCGCGATCAATTCTCTCGAACCACATCCCTGTTCCTCTCTGTTCTCTCAAAGTCGGTGTCCTTCCCCCGTTCGTTCGTCCGCGCTCGTTATTCTTCCTTCGTCTGTTCGATTTTCCGAAGGTGGGCCGAAACGATTCACTGACACGATTCAATCGCCGCCTTTGCGCAACAGTTGGAGCTCGCGAGTTCGGGTGTCGGGTGTCGGGTTCGACACCACACACCGATCTGACTCCGCGCGTGCATTATAGAGCGTCGGTGATAAAAGTTTCGGGAACAGTTGGTTTGTTTGCTGGCCGAACGTTTAAATATGAACGCGGTAACGCGACGCGGATGAGATATTATTGATTCGCCGGGAATTATTGATGCCGATTTCAACTATTCACTGCTCCTCGCGTTAATCGAGAAGTCACGCGAAAATTCGAATTATCGCCGAGTTCGACAGGTAGTCCACAAGACGGATAAATTCGTCGAGCCTCGATCTTTCAACGCGTTTAACACTCGCGTAATCAGCGTGCTTATTAGACGAGCTATGGAACGACAAAATTACTTTTGGGGGAGCGATCGTAATAGAACTACAACGAAATACAATTAATTGCCGAAATAATAATATTTCGTCGCTGCTGTTGATGTTGAGGACTACCGAGAACTATGAATTTTCAACAGAGACATTAAAGAAAAGAAAATAGAACAGAACACCGCAAACTTTTACTCGTGTATTTTCCGAGAGGTCATTTAAATCTCTAAAAGTACACCATCTTACGTCAGATCTGGGCGAAATTTATCTCGAATGACAATTTGTAAGTAAATTTTCGAAACAATGTTCTTTAACGTTTGGATTTGATTAATGGATTTTATTTGACGCATGTGTGTAGCTCGTTCGAAGCTGTGCGAATAATTGGGAGAATATCAAATAAATTGGACAACTGATTGTTTGAGAAGATATTCAAATGTCTATTTCGATCTAATTGAAAATTTGTCTCTGAAATAACATTCGAGATAAATATCGATGATACCAGAATACTCAAATGAGAATTGGAAAGTAATCGATGAAAGTCAAAATAATTTATTAGTGTGTTTCGTCACGGTAGAAATTTGTTTTAGATTTTAACAGGACTTGTTCCTCGAACATTTGAGAATATCTGTGTCAAACTTGCGAATAAGAATAATTTGTCTACTAGAGTTTACAAATACTTGTTTTATTAATATATAATTATGGAGCACACCTAAATTTCTTCTATCGTCATTAAAAAATCGAGCGGTATCTATTTGAATTTGTGTCTGGTTTCGCAGAATACAGAAACAATAAATACAAACATCGGACCTTAAGAGAAACCAGTTAGTTCTATCAAAATTAAATAACAAATAAAGATCCTGGCAAGATTCCGTGACAAATAATTTAGTTCACGAAATAACAAAGTAAATCATTCAATAATTGGAAATAAGTTAACTCAAATTAATAATATAATTTCATCATTTTACAAATAGATTCTTTCTCAAATAACTTTGAAAAGTAATTTGACAATTTTTCGGAACACCCATCCAACGCAGTAACTTTGACCATCTCGGTAAATTCTAGCGTTACAAATTATCGACTCTCGATCGGGATGGATCTGACAACGTATTCCTCGAGAGTAAAATTCCGTAAAAATTTTCAAACTTTTGCTCCCTCGGTCGAAAGTCCTTTTCAAAACGATCGGAAAGTGGTCGATTGCTCCGCGGCAACGAGTTATTTCGTCAGTCAGCGGCGAAACGTTACAGATCCGCGTCGCGATTGCCGATGCACGCTGGTCCCCGTATTCGAACACTTCCCGTAAACACACGTACACACGAGCAGCGTGAGTGTCGAGTCGCAGAGAAAGTGGAGTAGAGACGAGTGTACGCAAGGAGGTACCTGCTCTCTCACATTAATTATTCCGCGACTAAACCCTTCATCCGCGGTGGGATCGATACCCGCGACGCGGATCTTTCGACGGGATTATTCGTCCGTGGATCGAGATCCCGCGGCGGGAAGACAGTCGCGAGAAGGATGGATTAACATGCGACGACACTAAGGACCGACAGAGAGAAAGAGAGACGGGAGGAAACGAATTCTGAACTCCAACGTCGAATTGATAATCGAAACGAGTCGAGATCCTCGACGAAATTTTCGTCAGTCTTACAATTTTGTATTAATGAAAAATACATTGGTCACTGAAAAACTAAAGGGTTCGAGAAAGTCATTCATAACTTGTTCATTTTCAATTTTTCTCTTTTATTCTCTCCTTTTTTGCAGGTTATAGAAAAGAATTCATTAATATTATATTTCCAAATAAAATAATGAAAAATTGAAGAGGCATGCGTTTGTAAAAGTTACTTTTGTTTTACATCGTTCAGTCTTTCGGTGACCGCTCTGTATGAAACTTTGAACTCTCGTGTCACGAGCTGGAGGCGACGATACCAAAAGTTTGCAGGTTGTTTGAAGAATTGTCAAATTTGAAAAATTATAAAAAGACACATTGTGTTAGTAAATAAATAAGAAACGTTGAATTTTGTCTCGCAAAAGATAAATACAAATCGAGCTCGAAAGGTTAAAGGAATATTTTTTTCCCACCCAAAATCAATTATCAAATCGATATCGAAAATTAATTTCTTTCAACTCGCCACTCTGCTTGCTAAAATTAATCTACCAATCCTTTCTGAAAAATATACATCCCATTAATAAAAAAAAAATAGTAAATAAATAAAATAGTAAATAAATAAAAGAAACATCGAATTTCTGAAAAATATACATTCTATTAATAAAAAATAATACATTATATTGTAACAATAGTAAGTAAATAAATGAAAGAAACATCGAATTTCTGAAAAATATACATCCTATTAATAAAAAAAAAAATTCATTATATTGTAACAATAGTAAGAAACATCGAATTTCTGAAAAATATACATTCTATTAATAAAAAAAAAATATGCATTATATTGTAACAATAGTAACTAAATAAATAAAAGAAACATCGAATTTCTGAAAAATATACGTCCTATTAATAAAAAAAAAATGCATTATATTGTAACAATAGTAAGAAATATCGAATTTCTGAAAAATATACATTCTATTAATAAAAAAAAAAAAAATACATTATATTGTAACAATAGTAACTAAATAAATAAAAGAAACATCGAATTTCTGAAAAATATACATCCTATTAATAAAAAAA